CTCGTCCAGCTCTCCCCTGCAAGTGTGCACAGACTAGTCCAGCTCTCCCCTGCAAGTGTGCACAGACTCGTCCAGCTCTCCCCTGCAAGTGTGCAGACTCGCCCAGCTCTCCCTGCACCAGTGGTGTTCTGCCACCTCACCTTACTGAAGTGTCCCGTTGGCCACAGCCCAGGGAAGGACACAAGGAAGACACTCCCAGGTTGTTCAGAGACACTGTAATGTTTGTTACCTCACCACACTTAAGGGATGGAAGGACTCCCGAGACTCAACACTCACTGTTTCATTACAGGAATTAATAAAAGGCAGAGACTAAAAAAAAAAAATCACTTTTTGAAATTTCACAAAAAACAATTTTCAACAGAAGGGAGGACTAACAACTGGGCTAGCAGATATGTGGAATGTCCACTTTGGCACATAATCACAGATGGATACTCCTGGATTTTCACTTACTATTACTCCATGATGAACACTCTAAGATGATAAGTGACAAGCTTGTGAAATCACAAGGAAAGATTCTCCATGGCTGCAGTCTTCACTGAGCCCCGCTCTGAGAAGCTACAGGAGCAGTAAAAGCCTGTTCATTTAACGGTGTGAGAATACCTATCACAAGAAACCAGGCATTTAGTCTTCTGAAGACACGTCTTCCCTGCCAAACAAAGGCACTTGACATGAACTGAAATGGACAGTTAGCTCAGGTAACTGCCCTGCATCTGCCACCTTCCAAGAGTTATAGGAAATGGTGACTAAGCTCATATCAGTTCCACACAAGTCAGAAACACTTGTGAATAATCCTAAATTCTCTGTTTTTGGCAAATGATAGAACCAAGGAAGGAAACATAACGCTGGTGTCCACGGTGAACTGGCTGACTGGAGCTGTCAAGTGGCCGTCTTCATGTATTCGTTAACCACTGGGAATGTGTACACAATGACTCGGAAATTAATCTTTCATACAGTTTCAAGATTAATGCTCGCTCCGCTTCTTGTCTTTTTTTACTTTCTTCTTTCCCAAACTCTTAGATGACTCCTCCTGGAAAAGAAATCAGTCAATGCAGCACCTCCATGCCAGGTACAGACAGGACCTCATGGCAACCCCACAGCCAGTCCACACAGTGAAGCCTAAGGCCTTCCAAACCCCTGAGTACTGCCTGAGACACTCCAGCTTACAGTCTCTCCCGACAGGCAAGGCTAGTCAAGGAAAGCATTTTACCTAGTACATTTATGCTTGAAAAATCTCAGTATTACTTCATCTCTCTCCATTCTCCCAAGTCTAAATAAATAGCTATGAACATATGTAATGCATATACATGCACAGACATGTCAGGAAGCACAGATACTATGACACTAACGGAATTTAGGACTTTACAGGTACCTCAAGAACATCTATTCAGTGTGACAGCTCACATCTCTCTGGACCTCAGTTTGAGGGCATGGACCACAGATAGTATTTCAAGGGGTCTCTGCTTTTTCTCCTATAAACTCTTGAGACCAGACTTACAAAAGCAGGTTCTCCCATCATTCTGACCAAGGCCTAGGTCTCCAGCTTTCCAGCTCAACAGCTTGACCACTGCAATGCCCATATTTTCACCCAGTCTTGATTTCCCTTTCGTACTTTCACGGTGACAGCAAACTCCACAGCATCAAGAGCGACTTACAGGTGAACTTGTGAAGTTCTTCTCCACCAGTATGTTCCTGGCACAGTTGTTGATATGTTTGAAACGATCAGGTCCGAGCAAAATTCCTCCATACCAACGGGACACCACCACCATGACATTCTTCACATTCAAAATCTGTTATTTTCAGAAGCATAATTACACACAAATAGATGCGCACAAACCTGAGTTTTAAGAATGAAATAACTGCTATCTAAAACAGCATGCACTGAGTAAAGCTGCGAACAACCCAGGGAGGAAAAGGTAGCACAAAGGGAATTTCGTAAGTCAACACAGTGTCTACACCCTCAGACTCTGAGCTGTGGAGCCACTGGTCAGAGTGAAGGGGAAACCATGAAGCAGGCCTCCCATTCCTACTGACTGTTACCCAGAAAGCTACCTGTAGGCAGCCTTTTACCAGTAACAAAAGCAAAAACAAACAAACAAGACCTGCTCCTGATCAAACTTACTGAAGAGACGAGGACCTTCACAAGTAAAGCTGAAACACTCAAGTGCTGCCTTTAAAGAGAAGCCACCAGTGTTCCTATCTGACCCCACACCACAGAAAGGTTCGCAAGAGAAAGGCCTAGTTACAAAGCAGACTCCACATACATGAATAGAAGAAACTACCTGAGGAAAAAAGTAATCCACTCTTAAAATTAATGGACAATCAATGATCACCAGACAGATGAAGAAAATCCAGCAGGAGGAAAGAGAAAGGATGGGATAAACTAAGATGGGCCTGGAAAAACTTAAGGCTGTAAACAGTCCATTAAAGGAACTCAAACTAATACATGCAGACCAAATTTAAAAGCTATTTTATCTATAAAAACTGAGTAAGAATCCTAAGAAAAACAGAAATAGAAAACAGAAAAAAAAAAAAAAGCTTAATACAGGAGCTAGAGAGATGACTCAGTTGTTAAGAGTACTTGCTGCTCTTGCAAGCACCCAGGTTCGATTCCCAGCACCCACACACAGCTCAGTCATCTGTAACTCCAGCTCCAGGGATCCAGCATCATCTCTGGCCTCTGCAGACACTGTATGCACATGGTACACAGACATGATGCATACAAAATAGCCACACACATAAAGTAAACAACTGTTTTACAAAGAGGGAGACATTTCTAATAAGGAAGAGAATACTGCTTAAGAAAATTAAATGCAGCTGGGCGGTGGTGGTGCACGCCTTTAATCCCAGCACTCGGGAGGCAGAACCAGGCGGATCTCTGTGAGTTCGAGGCCAGCCTGGGCTACCAAGTGAGTCCCAGGAAAGGCGCAAAGCTACACAGAGAAACCCTGTCTCGAAAAAACAAAAAAAGAAAAAAAACAAAAAAAGAAAAAAGAAAATTAAATGCAAGATTGTTAAAAATACACAAATTTTGTGCTGGGTGGTGGCAGTGGAGGTGGCGGTGGTGGTGGCGCACACCTTTAATCCCACCACTCAGGAGGCAGAGGCAGGCAGATCAATGTGAGTTCGAGGGTAACCTGGTCTACAGAGTGAGATCCAGGACAGCCAGGGCTACACAGAGAAACCCTGTCTCAAAAAAAAAAAAAAAAAAAAAAAAGGCTCACATTTTCTTGACAAAGAGATAAGCAATTTAATTTTCAACAATGAAGCATCCTCCATCCACCCCATGTTTCTGCATCAAACCAACAGGGAGTTTCACAAAGACAGAAGAGAAGAGAGACAGGGAAGCCGCTGCCAGGAAACAAAGAGCAGTTCCCCAGAGCTGCAGACAGTCTTGTGTTTTTCCTGGAAAGCACGTCATCTGGGATTAACCGTCTGCACTGTCCCGGGTCCAGTGGTGAACGTTTCCTGTCTCACATCATTCAAACTCCTCCTTCTTCCTAAGTGGAGCTCTGTCTTCCTTGGAAACGCCATGGCTTGTAAGTGCATATTCCGAATTGAACTCAACACTGACCTCCATGAGGTGAAGAAGACGACCTCCAGCAGCTGTCTCTCCATCATCCTCACAGTCCTGCAAGAAGGTCTGCTTGTCCTCACAGTATATCCTGAAATACATAAGGAGGCCTATATTTGTAAGCACCAAAGTAGAATAAAATATGTCATATAATAAATGTTAGCCCTCAATATTTAATAATCAATATGATCACCTCCAAAATTAGCATATTTTTCTTAAAATCCTTCTTCAATTCTGTCTAGGGCATTCTTATGGTTGGCTGGCCACATAAACCCATCTTCACCATAGGGACACTAGGACCCAGAGGTTTCTCCTTTTTATTAAAGTGCAGCTTTTGTGAGAAGAATTTACACATGCAGTTCCCGTCAGAGTGACGGAAAGCCGTCCGCTGAGGCTAGGCTGCATCGAGGCCTTATACAACAGAAACTATAAGGTGATATGTAAGAAACAGGCGGTGCACTCCTAGCATATAATGAAAACACAAGTGCATCAAAGGAGATGAAGGCCACATATGTGAATGCTTCGTATTCTTCCCCTGTTAGTCCAGCTATCGGGTTTTCAATATCCAGCTGCTGGACAAAGTGACACAGAACTGTGACCCCGGCACTCGGAAGGTAGGAGCAGAATCAGTGTAACACTCAATAAAGCAAGGTGGAGGCCAGCCTAGGCTACACGAGATCTTATCCAAAATACAATACAATAAATAAATAAGCAAATAAAAAAGAATACATTAAATTTCTATCGAGATACTGTTCAGGGGGCACATACTCATATACATAAATAAATTCTTTTTTTTAAGATATGAATCTACTAATAGGAAAAACTTCCTTATGCAAACTGAATCTTCTGAATTTGAAGTTTCACTAATCTAGATTTTATAAACATTCAACTGAATTTTAAATTTACACCAACTCCATATATCTATATTCTTTTTTACTTCAGGGCTAAACTACAACTTTAAGTCTTATTTTTTTATATATTTTAAAATGTTCTTTATGTCTTCATTTGCAAATCAGCAAACATTTGCAGTCAAAATCCCAAGGTATGTTATAAAAGCACTCTTAACTCATTATTTATAGGAGAATAAATTGGTTTAAAAATAGCCTTTGGGAAAATTTGAAATACATATCAACTTTCAAAAGTATTCATATTTTTTGATAATTCTACTATAAAACTATGTTCTTTTTAATTGTATCTGCATTTCACTTTTTCAAAAGAAGGTGAGGATCTGGTAGATGTGCTCCTCATCAGCTCAGTAACAAGAGCTTTACGCACAAGCATGAGGAGCTAAGTCTGAGTTCCTGGACCCACGTGGAAAGCTGCCGTGGCCATGTGTGCCTGTGACCACCCAGCACTGAGGGTTACAGGGCAAAGACCAGGGGATGCTGAGGGTGTAATGGCCAGTGAGTCAACCAAAGCCGTGAGCTCCAGGTTCAGCAAGAGACCTTGTCTCAAGAAGCAAGGTGGAGAACAAAAGAGGACAAGCCCCAACACACAGGAAAGCATCCCCCATACATGTACATGTGTGCACACAAATATGAGCCAACTCAATCAACTCTGCAGAAATAATCTAATTCATGGACAAAAGATGTCTGCCAGACTCGCTTTATAATAGTGAAAATTTGAAAAACTGCACTGAAAAAGGAACGCTAAATAAATCGAGGTATGGAACCTCAATCAAGTATTGTAAGACACTGAAACAGTTTTTAATCAAGTAAATACAGAAAATATTTTTATTAAATTAAAAGAATAGGACACAGTTAAAGTATTGAAAAGAGTAACTTCTCACAGAAAAGACAACACACACAGAACGCTGGCAACTGCAGCTGGCAGGAGCCAAAGCCTTTGGGCTGTGCCTCTCTCTCCCTGCACTTTGTGTGACCTCACAGGTCGTCTATCACAGTAAAGAGAGTTAGATCTTAAAGTCATGCACAGTTTCCCAAGCACTGTTTATGAATGACACAGTCTAAAGGCTGACAGTCACTCACCTATAGGCATAGATATTGTGGGTGGCACTCGCTATTTTCTTATTCTCATACAATTTGGCAAGAACCATTTTCACCTTTAAAAAAAGCAGTAATATAAATAAACAAATATGACTTTTATTTGCTCTGTAAATGCTAGAAAAGTAGAATTAAAGTGATTTGATATACATCTTATACCAAAACATTCACTTAAAGAATCCACTAAGCTCTGAAGTGACCTAACAGGGCAGACACTTTCTGAGCACTAATTACCAACAGATGTTTAGTCTGCATGTCTAAGGCATAATAAATGAAAATGTGTTCCCTGTGTAGAGAACTTTTCATGTAAACACAAGCATTTCCAGAAACTAGCTCTGACGTTCCTGACTGTGCCCACTCTGTGACAGGTGTACAGCAACTGCGTGCTCCCAATGTTACAAAATCACAACTGTCTCTAGGAACCAAGCATGCTTCATGGGGGAGTTCTAACCCAGCTCTTGTAAGTGGCAGTTCTTCTGCATCAAAATGCAAGGGAGAAGAAGAGGCAATGAAGAAGAAATTCAGAGGGCAAATGCAAGGAACAGGAGGTTAGATGAATAACTAAATAACAAAAACCGCCCAGTCAAAACAGAATTTCAACTCAACAACAGATACATTTCAATATAGACATAAAATAAATAAATAAATAAATAAATATAAGAATGTCCCATTATGCCTACTTGAGACTCAGCTTTAAGCTGTGTATTTCCTTGTCAACCCTATAAGGATAAGAAGAGAGGCTGAGGAAATGCTACCTGCTGCACCTTAAGAACATAAAGAAGGCTGGGCAGCGGTGGTGGCACACGCCTTTAATCCCAGCACTTGGGAGGCAGAGCCAGGCAGATCTCTGTGAGTTTGAAGCCAGCCTGGTCTACAAAGCAAGATTCAGGACAGGCACCAAAACTACACAGAAAAACCCTGTCTCGAAAAAACGAAGAAGAAGAAGAAGAAGAAGAAGAAGAAGAAGGAGAAGGAGAAGGAGAAGGAGAAGGAGAAGGAGAAGGAGAAGGAGAAGGAGAAGGAGAAGGAGAAGGAGAAGGAGAAGGAGAAGGAGAAGGA